CGGAGCAGAGCCGAGGGGAGCCGAGTCAAGCCGAGCCGAAACGAGATGAGCCGAACGGAGCCGAGCCCAGCCGAGCCCAGCCGAAACGAGATGAGCCGGACGGAGCCGAGCCGAGCCCGTCCCGAGCGGAGCCGAGCCCGGCCCGAGCGCCCCCTCCCTCTGCTCCAGCGCCCCACGGCCACGCGCTGCTCTGCACTGGCTGCAGCTGCCCTGCAGAGGCAGCTGGATTTTGGGGCTTGGAGCGCTTTGGGTTCCAGCGTGAGCCCAAAGCATCAGAGGAGTTGGCCTGTACCTCCTGGCAGGTCTTGCAGCTGCTTTCGAGGGGCTCTGGGCTCTGCCCAGGCTTCTCAAGTCAGCGTTAACTCTGGTGCCTAATGGCAGTACCCTAGCAGTAGCCTTGGTAGCTCAGCCCTTTCTCTCCCAAATTGCGATGATGTCAGGTTTGCCTTTTCTTGTTTTAGGCACCCTTCATGCAAAGATTCCCAGAGATTTTTTCATTCCTCCCCTACACACACAGTGGGATTCCTGGAGGGCTGCAGAAATGCAACAGCAGCAGCATTAGTCTCTTCTGGGGTTTTGGGGAGGAAACACCCTTGTAGATAGCTGTCTGGAGCCTTTCTGGCAGCCACCTTTTACTTCTCAAACAGACACAACCGAAAAGCTCCGATGGTCAGTGACCTAGCTGAGCAATGATCAAAAAAGAAGCCACTTTTAGTCCCAGGAAAGCCTAACAGTGACGTTTGTAGGAAAAACAATGTCCCAATTAGTTCTCTTGTGCCAAACACAAAAACAGATTTTGGTGTAAAAGAAGAGGCTCCCAGTGAACTAAATAAAAACCTAAACACAGAACGAAAGCAGACACTGATCTGCCTCCTCAGGGCAGGACAGTCAGCATTTCCTTTTGCTCTGTAAAGAACATCCTTTCCATTAAAATGAGGAGCTTCTCTGTTGAACTAGGAGGCCGTCAGTGCTCACGGGCTTCTGATGGCAGCTCTGTCTGAGGAACCTGGCTCAGACAAGTGCATGCACCACTTTGGTGCTTCTAGGGAGCATCTGTACTCTTCCTGCCTCTCAGGAAACACCTGGATCAGAAATGAGCTCAAGCCTTCTACTCTCTCTGGGGACCTGCCTGCTGGAAACTGGAACAGCATTTTCCAGGAGGAATCCTCTTTTCTGATTGCTTTTTCTTGCAACTCACGTACCCGTGCATCTAGGGTCGAGGTAGGTTTTCCATCCCACTTCCTCATGTCCTCTCCATGGTCACGCAGGTAAAACCACAGGGTACACCATGGTGTGTACCTTCTATCTCCTCTCTCTTGAGCAGAGGAACGCTTACTCCTAATAGCTGAGATGCGGGCCCATACAGGTGGGGAGGACATATACTTTTTGAATTGCTGGAACTCCCGGGACAGTTCATCTACAGCCGAGACATGGGCCCATAGGGAGGAAGAGAGACTTCCCTCGTATTGCCGGAGTCGGCCAGCCACTTCATCCACCATTTGTCCCTCGCCTTCTCTCCTGGACATCATTGCCAGTGAGTTGGCACACGACACTGGTGCATGTCGTAGAAACTTCCGCCACGTGGGTTGTGTGCATTGGACTTCATCTGGATCTGTGGGTAACTGCTCATTATCCGGATCATTATAAATCACCTCCAGCACGGCTAATTCCCTCACATACTGGATACCTCTCTCCATGGTGGTCCACTTGCCTGGGTGACATGTAACATCTTCCTTGAAGGGGTACTTTTCCTTCACACCTGACAGAAGTCCCCTCCAGAGGCTGAGGACTTGTGTCTTCTTCCCAATTGCCTTGTCAATGGCCCCTTCCCTAGACAGGGATCCCAGCTGCTTGCCTTCCCTACCCTCTAATTCCAAGCTACTGGCCCATTATCCCAGCATCGGAGCAGCCAGGTAACAATGTGCTCACCTGGATGGTGGGCAAAATCCTTTCGCATATCTCACAGCTCACTCAGGGATAGGGAGCGGGTGATTATCTCAGGTTCTGCCTCTTCCTCCTGTTCTCATGATGACCCTGGTTAACCTTCATCCCTTGCTGAGCGAACTGATCTCTCTGCATATTTCTTCTTCTGTATAGGGGCGACTGACACCGGCACAGGCTGGTTCTCTGGTTCAGATGCAGCGCCTGGCGCTGGGGTTGGGGTAGCTGCAGTGCTTGTCACGAGGGTTGGAATAGCCACAGTACCTGTCGGTCTCTTTTCCCTCCCTTCTCCCTGAGGGTGCTGCATAATATCAAGCAGTGTTTGGTAGATACTGGCCCAGCACAGTGCTGTAAGTTGTGCCTCTTTGGAATAGGCACCCAAAAGTTAGAAAGAGGTTTCAATGGCAAATGCCTACGATTGCTTTTTGTTTTTCAGAACTCCTGGATTTTAATTTCCAAGTAACTTGATCTCCCTGGTGCAGTTGCTCCAACTTCATGGCACCGTGGCTTTGTCCTGCTCAGCTCTTTTCAGTTGTCCAGGATTCCCCAGGAACTGCTGTCTCCCAAATGGAGGTGTATGTTTTCATGTCTTTCAAGTTACTAGGTGAAGCCATTAATTACAGCTGGCTCTTGCAGAGGGGGAGGAAAACACAGTGAAACCAAAATGTGGTAGGGAAGGTAACGGGAAAGTATTTGTGCTTCTGGTACACCTTTCCCGGCAGCCAGGTTTCCTTGTGTAACCCCAGTGCTTCTGGAAGTTGGAAAGATGCGCACATTTAAATGGCACAGAGATAGGGCCATGAGTCAGTGCTGTCCCCTTTCTGACTGAAAGAGTTATCCAAAGCTTAGGGCCTTGCTGGTAGTTTATCAGAGTGTGTATATATGCTGTGGAGCCCGCAGTAGCGAGCATTTGGAGCCTGTGAACTCCTAGGTCTCTGCCAGTGATGTTACATTTAATGGAAGAAGCATCTGACCGCTGAGGCAGGTCTGATGCAACCCTGCTTGTTTACAGCAAATGTTCAAGGACCTGATTCTCTCAGCTGCTCGTGGCCCAGTAAAAGCAGTTTTGCTGCTGTTGGTAACAGACCACAGTCCTTATGCTAACTTTGTGAGGCCAGAGGACCAGGGTGTATTGGGATTGTTGGCTTGTCGTGAGAACTTACTTTGTGAAAAGAAGCTTTGTAATGGTGTCTCATGTTACGATGCGCAGTTCGAGTATAAGGTAATAGCAAAGGCCTTGAAAACACGTATGTGGGCTAAAAGAGCATCCCCGAGGCTATAAAAAATTCAGTAGTAGTCAGTTCCTGGTCATAGAAGAAGTACAGCCTTGAGACCTGAGAAAAACTGTATCATAAAGAGAAAAAAAGAGGAAGAAGCTAAGCAAGAAAAATGTTGAGCAACAGGATAATATGCCTGACAGCCTGGGAAAGTAACACCTTCAAGCCTTGTACTGTGTGAAGTCCATCAGGCAGAGGCCTAAGGCTAAGACCCTGCTTAGAGAGTCAAACATCTTACAATAAGATCTCACCACTGAGTGAATTTTCTCACTACACATTCAAAGCTGTGAGCAGACTCCTGGTTTCAAGTACCGTGACTGTTATGGACCCTTAGACCTGACAGCATTGTCCAGAGCTGTGCATAACAAGATCAGTGTGTACATATCTGTGTGTTTTCACCTCAGGTTATGTGTGTTTCAGCTCTTCAACCACGAAAAAGTCCCTATTGCATGTTACTACAGTTTGTCCAGTCACTCTTGGTAAAAGGCTCTGCAGTTTCTCTGGCAAACATCAAGGGAAATACTTGCATCATTCAAAGCTCATGGTAAGTCAGTGCATTCAATCTCTGCACTAACTTGCAATAAGTGCCTACACACTGTTGCCTGGGTCATCCCACTGTCTTAGATACCTGTATGTTATTAAGGCTGCCAATCATTACTAGCATAACCATAGTTTTTACAAGTCCTACCCAGACATTAGGACTGATGGCAGATAAAGAATATGAAGGCGATTCTCACCCCAAAGAACTGACAGTCTAAGGATGCAAGGAATGAAACTGTGCTTGCAAGAAAGCAGCACATTCATAGCAGAAGTTGTGTTTCAGACCTTTCAGAGGCAAGTGCTGACTTTTCAAAACCAAGTGAGAAGTGACAGGAACAGTAGCATGGCCTGCACAAGGCCCTAAAGGTGGAGAAAGCAGCTTGTACTGGCCATGCTGAACTGGGGGGAGGTATACAGAGGTCAGTACTCCAGGTGGATGCCTGGGACGCTGGATACCAGCAGATGAACAGCAGCAGAGATATGGAAGGAAGAGTCAAGATTTTGAGCTTGTAATGGTGGTTAGGAAGAGCTGTTACTTAGGTATATGTGAAGAAGGACTCCAGAAGGGCAGCACAGTCTGGAGGAGCTTTGGATCAAGTGGAGCACACACTGGAACAGAGAGGTGAGGGAAAGTAGCAGGGTGACTGGCAGGCAGCAACATGAAGAGCTCCCTTAATGAAAGGCAGCATTTACACCTCTCACAACAAGTGACCTATCCCAGAAAAATGTTTCAAAAGCAGGCATTTCCCACTGGCTGTTGACATTAAATGGGCATGAATCAGTGTGAGGTGTCCTAGGATGTAGTGTTTGTTTTTCTGTTAGGGTGAGATTTTCCATTGACTTGACTGGTCTCCATTCCACACGCCTTTATGCAGAGCTCCCATTTGCTTTCTCTGTAACACATATTAACAAAGAATACCAGTGCACCTTTCAGGTGCTGCAAGCATGTCTCTGGAGTAGGTGAACCGGTACTTAGATTCCGAGTTGCAGTA